TCCATGTAAAGGAATATGTATCGAAGGCAATCCTTTGATGCAGTAATGCTCTGGGACCTCAAGTTGAACACCTCGCCTGTGTCGTCAAAAACAATATCATCCTCTTTTATGTGCTCCCAACAAGCCGAAACGGACTTGGAAAAGAGTATGCTAATGAAAATTGCATGGCCGTCTAGACTAGTCATCATCGGCATCCACACACTTGTGCTAACATCTGCCTCGAATACATCCACTTTGTGGGTGAAGTTGAAACCGAGTGAATGGTATCTAACATTCTTAAGAAGTTGCTCGCCACTTCTACCTATTTTCTCACCATGCACACTGTCCACATCAGCTTTATGCCACATCATCAGTTCTCCCTCCACCTAGGCCTCCCTCATGCAACAGATTATTAGGGAAAATTTAATGTCTATCGCTTATCACTAAACTCATGCATGCGTCCATAGCTAGCAACGCCCAACATTATTACGTGCATGCAGTGGTTACGGGGATAGCCATCAATATAGGATCACAACACCACTTTGCTAGCTATTAACATGGGAGGACACTGATTTACGCGGACGACTAGGGTCTTTCATCTCCCCCTGAACGAATAAATCTCTTCACCGTTTTGTCTATGATAACCCCTACGGAATCTTCTCATCTTCCCTCTCTATCTGATTCTTCTCATCTTCCCTCTCTATCTGTACTCTGTACCTCTATCTCTCTCCACATCCCGTCAAAAAAATTTACCTCTATCTCTCCACACTGCGCCACCACTAGCAAGCCTTCACGGTCATCGCCGTCGGAGACCCAGGCAGTGCTGCTATAATACCTGATTGTTTGTATGTCTGCGGTCGAATGCAACGGTGAGCGGCGCCGCCTCGAACACGATGACCTGCGTCCTTCTGGCTGGTCATTTTTCCGACGAGCACTACTCCCTGACTCCGGTTTAGATCATCCAGTCCAGCCCGCGGGCTGTGCGCTACACAAGAAAGGCACACTCTTGGTGGTCCTCATGAACTAGGCCGTGGTCGCCAAGGGCTACTGCAGAGCGCGATGTGGCCTCCACAACGCCGGCATCGGGTAGGCCTAAGCGTGGGTGGGTGGTACTGAGTGCGAGTGCACCAAGCCGCTCCCTTGACCTCTGATCCGAAATCCTCCACCTCCTTGCCCTTTCCAATGGCGTATGGAGTTTTCACAGGGGCAGGCCCGCCACGACATCGTCGTCCACCTCCTATATAGAGGATCACCCCACATATATGAGTCGGAATTCATGGCTTTTATCTCCTCCGTGAATCCCATCCCCAGGTTTTCCCCAAATCATTTTGAATTTGCATACATATGATTCTAAAATGCAAAATATTTTTTACATCTACGAAAAGTTTTTGTTTGTCTTCCTACTATCTATGCTTATTCTTCATCTTTGTTATCATACTTTTAACAATGTTGTTTGGGCCTAAATGCTATATCTACTCATGCTTAATACTAATGACATTAACACGTGGACAAATCTTCTTTACAATTGTAGGATGCTTCCCGGTGAACCAATGCAAGCTCATGCATATGTAAATGGTTGGAGAAATAATAGGGAAGAAAATTCCTACAACCACACTAGATTTGGTTTGTTACTTAACCACATTCCATATTAAAACACTCAATCCCTTTTTTCCTTAAGAAGGTGAGCACTTGCAAACTCCTGGCAGTAACAATTCAACAACTCGATCTAGGTGTGAGAGGCCTATTATATTTGTTTTGCACGTATTTGTTGAACCTCATCGTCATGTCCACTAAGAAGAAAGCCAAATTTCCAGCACTAATTTGTGTTTATTTTGCAAATATCAGATTGTAGGATCTTGCTGTGGCCGTCATGCAAAGCAAATGGGTTTCATTATTTCTCTTATTGTAAGTCATCGGTATGCATTGATCCACTACCCTCCTCACCGTAAGTCACTACAGAATATTCTTCAAATCCTCTAAATTTTTTAAGATGGATCAGTGTTAACTTTTCTGCGCTGTAATGTCTCAATCTAATAAATATCACACATT